GAATATTCTGAGTGGTTTGGTTATCTGATGTAAAGCTAGTACCAACGAGATCATGTTGTCATCTACTCCTCTTTTAAGATTTTCAGAGAGGGGAAACTGAAGTAAATGCTGACAGCTGAAACTTTATAGTGTGTTGACCTTTGTTTCTACTGTTTTCAGTCTGGTTTTGTTGTTATCTTACAGTAAGGGGCATAGAAGAATGGTGCTGCATATTCCTTTTCCGTAGACTGGATCTTTTTTATCTGCCCATATACTGAATTTTAGGGGACAGTATGACTCATTTGCTGTAACATAAATTTACCCTGATTGTAGTATTTAGTTATTAAACTGATAATTTTCCAAACGATATCTGGACATGTAAAGAGGCAATAATTACTGTAATGGTTTAAAAAAAATAAGTGAGCAAAGACAAAGTTGCTAAGCTTAAGCATTAGTTCAGTGCACAATAAATAACCTACCCTTTCAGCAAAGAGGAGACGTTGACTCTTTGAAGTTAATAGTGTTGTTTGCATTGGAGGAACACTCTGACTAACAGAATAAAAACGGGGCTATAATTGTGCACTGCAGTTTACCAGTATAAATTGAGCAGGGACAAGTTTAATGATAATGAAGTTTATTCAAAACATTAAAAAAAAAAAAAAGTCTAAATGCAGAGTGCAGCTGTAGACTGGGTGAATGCAGGTTTCCTGATATCTAACAGAATTAATAGGCTTTCAGTTTGACTGCCATTTCACTGTGACTCCCTTAACAATTCTTAAGTATTAGACTATTAGGTCTAAGACTATAATGTTCAGGCACTTTAAGAAAGAAGAAAAGGGTGTAATGGTTGGAAGCACAGCAGAGGTAAAACATTCTGTAACGAAGGGCTGTAACAAATAAACATCAAAGGTCAGGTTTCTTAATGGAAGGGATACAATCAAGAATGTGGAGAGAGCAGAGAAGGCACTCAAGATTTCTTAAAAATCTTGCAATGCTTATATCAGCATCGTGTAATAAAGACAGAAATAATTTTGCCAAGAAATAGAATTTCGTGTCAGGAATTTTAGACCTGTAGCGAGGAGGAGAGTTCGGGATGCTTGTAGAATTAGATTACAGGCAAAACATGGGGTCTTTACCTACAGTCCTGTGTTTAAAACAGGGAAGTCTAAAAGTAGGTGTAGATCTGAAGCCAGCAGGGCCACTCTAAGTGCCCACTATGTGAGGGCCACTAATAACTGGCCCAAAAATATCTTGCTGCTTAAAACCACTGTTAAACCTGTTTGTTAAACATAAATCATTAGGGGGATTGTGTTGTTCTTTTTCATTTTTGTTTAATTGGGGCCTGTAAATGAGTATGGCTTTAACAGGCTATTCAACACAGTATATATTCTTGGCTTAAAAAAAACCACCAGCAGTTTTGGAAGTGTATTTTAATAATGGCTCTGTCTGTAAAAACGCTAGAAAAATATTTCTCTCCATTGCAAAATGCTGCGCTGCTTAATCATGTACCTAACTCATAGCCACCATACCGGAAGCATTAGTATTGGTTCCATGTATTTTGTTTCTTGTTTCACTTTTTTTGCTTTGCTCTTCCTTTTCTCTGTGTTGTTGTTGGCTTTTTTCTCCTTTCCCATCTCCTTGTCACCTCAGGCCTATACTTGAATCTCTTTTCACACACAAGCTCTCATCCATTCCTTTTTTTTTTTTTTTGCCTCCGTTCTTCTGCCTTGTCATCATTGAGCATGCGACCTTAGCTAAAGAACTTATACCAGAACTGATGTCATACTATTTATCTTAGTTTAAAAAAACTGGATAATTTTTTTCTTTAATTATAAAAATTCTTCTAAAACACTTAATTTGCTGTATCTATCAGATTTTTGGTAAAACTTTGTGTAAAGATCAGTGACAAAAGTATACTTTGTTTATTTACAGAAATCCAACATCTGCCTGTGACTGGCTTTATTTTTATAAAATAACTGCTTAATATTGGCTTTTCAAATTTCAATTTTTTTTTGTAGAATTAGTTCAGTGGTTTGGAGCTTTCAGTTCTGTCAAATATTATCAACCTGCTGTTATATGCAGAATTAGGTAAATACTTAAATTAATACTCTGGATAAATGGGCAGCTTCTTTGCAGTATTGGTTAGAGAAAGTCTTCAAAGAATAGGATGTAGAAGTAAACCTAAGCAAAGACTTAGTTGTCTTGCTTGTGCTTTTGATCTTTTTTTTAAGCATTTCATCAGTTTTATTTTGCTATTTGCAGTGGTTCACAGTGGACAAATATGCTGTAAGTAAGTAAGCTGTTTTAATGACTTTATTGTTGGAATGGTACGGATTTCATCTTACCATGACACAGTGTAGTGTACAACACTGCTGAGTTAGAGTTACGAGGGAAAAGTAAAACACTAGGACCGTGTACTATGTATGTGCTGCTCTGAGAACTAAGATTTAAGATTAGCTAATTTCAGCAGAAGATATGGTATCTTTAAAGACGTGTGCTTACATTTGGGTTTATAATTTTGATACTGTAAAGCGTGGTTTCTTTAGGTATTTCTGCATTTGGAATTTAAGTTTAAATATATATATTTGCATATATATATGTGGTATGTTGAGAACTTTTACAACTTGTTAACAAATAATGAATATAAATAGCTGTTTTCCTAATGTTACCAGCTTCTTAGACTTAAGCACAACTAGTTACAAATAAAATGTCTTTTCTCTGACATTCTCCTATAAAAGTGCAGTTCTACTCTTTAAAAACAATTCTGTATAAAGCAGCAGCAGATGGGCGCATTCACAGCTCTGCTTAGTTAAATAACTTGATGTTTGGTTCCGGCTTCTCACGCTTCATAGGAGCATGGTATTTAAGCTGGACGAGCAGGTATGTCTGAAGCTTAAGTACAGAATCTTTTAGTGGATAATTTTTAACATTCACATCCCAGGGCAAGCATTATTTTAAACAGTTTTGTCCTGGTGACAGTGCTAAACAAAAAATATGGAAGTTCTTAATGACTATTTTTGAGTCCCTTCTTTTTTGGTTGTTTTTTTTCTAGAGTAGAACCACACTTTAACTGCCATATCGTGTTTAAACAACTTAAACATAACATGGCTTTGTGCCATCCAATAATGAAGGCACTGTCTTGCTGCTATTTTCCGTGAAAGGATACAAAATTAATAAACTATTTGGATGGGGAGCCTTAATGTGGTTAAAAAGAAACATCATTAACCCTTTGAGCGCCTTAAGACATTATCTTCTTTAATATAAACGGGCACTCACTTGGATCTGCAGGCACACAGCATGTTTTCTCAACAGTTGGAAGAGATTATTGCCTTAAGTGACAATGCCCTGGGACTTCTGAGACTTAGAACTCAAAGGGTTATTTTAGACTACTGTTTTGGGACTTTTTTTTTATTAAACCGGGAACAAAATGAAAAATTCCTTTGCATACTATTATTATTATTACATGATGGATTTACCAGCTTTCAGGTACAAAATTGTTGTTAATCTTCTGAGAAAACAACTGGTCTAAGAATTCTACAGAGAAAAAGAACACTTGGTTACTGCTGTATGTGCAAAATAAATTGCTTTATTAAGCATAAATTTAGGGAGAGATGCACATTTGTGTGTGTTTACCTTGATGACTGTGTCCTTGTAAACAAAATTGTAATAAGGCAGTGATGAAACTAGCAAAATACAGAAAACTGCAATAATAAATGTAATGAAGTCAGTATGTTTAATTGCCTCATTACACGTTAAAGATGCACAGTGCAGGCAACTATATACTAAACACTTTCTACAAATGATGCGGTTTAAATTTATTTCAAACCCACATCACAAAAGTGAAGCTGTCAAATTTAAATTACACTCTTACAGTCCTAGGTAGCTGGAGTTGATAAACGTTATGCTTTTTTCCCCCTTGAAGGGAAAAAAGTAGTTTAGGCGCATGCAGTGCTGAAAGCAATGGAAAGGAGTAAAAATTCATTGACTAATGTTTTTATTCTAGACTGTGCACCTTTAGTAGTGTAATGGTTCCCTTTTACTGAAGAATGGGATCTAATTTTCTACTTGCATATGAACTTTCTTGAAATAACCAAGAGTCTTGGCATTGCCTGGTCTGGCTTTGGATGTACATTGTACTGAAACTATTGAGTATTAGACGTTTCTTTTAGACGTTTAACTGCAAGTTAAAATCGCTAGTTAACTGCATTCTGACTGTAGAATTTAAGTACTAAATAAACTCTATGCATATTAGACCCATTTTACTTGGTCTTAAGTTTCGTAGTAGTGTTAGCTTGATCACAACATAGTTTGTAGCTGCAGAGTTTGGTGACGGTGAGCTGTCTGGCTCCCCTAGAAGGATAGTCCCGCACAATGCTGTAGAGACTGATACTTCATTGTGCAGAGTAATGATGAAAGCAATTACGTGCCCCACTCAAGCTGCAAGAATCTTTATTCCCTTTTCTGTAGCAGCTGGCCATACAATTTGGTAGGTAGGTGATCAGACATCGAGATGTAAGAGGGAGACACACGTACAGCAGTATCACTACAAACTTGTTTTGCTTCATACTTTCTTCATGATTACAATTTGACATTCAGAGAAGAATGAAATTTAAAGGAACCATGAAACTAAATTGACTGTTTATTCTAACTGTTGGAACAAAGGTAGAAAGCAAACTGATTTGCAGCCAAAAAAAAAAAAATACAGAGGCTTCTTCTTGTACAGTCTATACTTCTCTGAAGCATACTATCAGGATGTAACAGCAATACAACGACATCACTATCTCACACTTAGAGCCCCAAGAGTTACATAATGTGCTTTATCACTGCTTTGGTTGTGGTAAAGCTGAGGTAAGGACACCAAGTAATTTGCCCAGTCCATAAAGTCTGTGTCAGAGAATGATCTATGATTCAGAAATCCATGGCTTGAAGTTGCTGAGTCCAGCTGATGCAGTGTATCTCTGTGAGCTTCCAAATTGTCTGAAACCCCATTTGTACAAAGGAAGAGGAAGCTAGATGGCTGTTCAGGATTCTCTTTTTACTTGACATTGATAGACTAATGGAAGCAGTTTGCCTTCCTCATGAAGCCTCTGAGTATCGGTAGCACCTCCAACAAAAGTCCCATTGACAAACACTCTTGGGACCTATCAAGAAAATACAAGTTGCGTTAGTTCTTGGAAAAAAAGATAAAAATCTAAGCAAGCCCGTATGGATTCTAATATACAGAGACAGCAGTTACGATCTTACGTATGCATATTTAATGTTACTGTACAACTCTTAAGTTTCCATAATATTTACAGAGGTGGGAAACTGTTCACATGCCCCTCAAAAGTGGGACAAAGTTGCTTTGTGGGAGATTGTAATAAATTAAAATAATTGAGTCAAGTGAGACTACATAAAATTAAGAAATTACAAGCTAAGTGTTAAATACAATGGATTAAATATGCCTATACAAAGAAAAACTGACTTTGATACTTCAGTTATCTTAGTGGCAGTACGGAAAAGATCACCTCAGAGGGAGAGCCAGAGGGTCTCAAGAAGAAGACATGGTACAAAACCCTTCTGCAGTACCTTGTCTTTAATTTAGGAGGTTGTATCCCAAGTTTACTTTTCTCAAAAAAATGAAGAACTTGATATGGTCAAAACCCCTGAGGGAGGTGTGTAGTGCAAGTTCTTTCTTTGCTTGTTACATGTGAAAAAATACACTTACTGTTCTGCCACCAGTCATCTGTTCAAGAATGTCTTGGAAACGACTTCCATTTGTATTCATGTCCAGTTCTACAGCTGTATAATTTACATTCATACCCTCAAAAAGTTTCTTTGTCATTTTGCAGTAGAAACATGTTGTTTTGGAGAAAATCACCACACAGTTGTCTGAAATAATCTCCTGTATGTTCAAAAGAATTTTCAAGTCAGTATATTTTAACAGTATTGAACAGTCATGAAAACAAATACAGAAGTTAAAAATCTGCTATTATGGTAACAAATACAGAAAACTACTCTGCAGAAGGTTTCCTGAGGTATTTTTAACAGGGACAACTGAGGAGTTCCCAGTCACGCTACAGCCATGGCTGGCTACTTTTGAAAAATCTTCCAAAACACTGTACTTCAGTCTCAGTTTTTTAAGGTAAAGTGAAAAGCTAGTTTAGCTTCTAAGTTTTCCCTACTTCTAATCTAGAGCCACAAGAATCAGAAGGTGAGGAATGAACTACTTTTCTTTAAAAACAAGGAGCAGAACAGTGACTTCACCAAGGCATCTGTCAAGAAGATACATCACCTGTATGGTAGGTGCAAAACGTATCCACCCCACACTGGTTCTGAAGAGCTCTCTGGTGGCCTAGCACCTCCTTCAGGGATGCATCCCATACTTTCACATCAGAATGAAAATTGCTTCCCACCTGACTACCAAGAAAGTCAGACTTGCCACCTCAAAAACTGCGGTTGCGCTTGACCAGATCCCAAAGAGCATCTGTGCAGAAGCGCAGTAAGGAGTGAGGCGCAACCTCAGCACTTTGCAGAACTACATGGAAGGTAAAGTGACTCCTCCTGCTCCACTTCAGCTTTTCAGTAGAAAGTGTGCTCTATGCTTTGAGTAGAGTACCTGGAATCAGTTAAAACTTAGCAGTATCTAACCTTTTTCAGGAATGCTATGATGATCTTGTGGGAGCAGAGATTGAGGGGAGTTGGCATTCTCTACCAGAAGCACTGCTGGCACTTATGAATCATAGAACCATAGAATGGTTTGGGTTGGAAGGGACATTAAAGATCACCTAGGGATCATGATATGAAGCTGTGTATGACCTAGACTCGATTCCAAAACTGAGCAGAATCATTGTGGAGCATGCAGTAGGACTGCCATGGAATGGTGCCAACCCTGAAGCCTCTTATGCTCTGCAGTCACGGACCTCCTACAGTCTGCCAAACAAGCTGCATCTCCTTGAATTATGTAGTACAGCTTTCCTTGTCTGTAAGGCAAACGGGGCGTGCCGGTGGCGAGCAGAGTGACAAAAAGGGGTCTGAGTGGGAGAAAGAAATACCTCTACTACTTTACTGTAAACTCAAGGTGAATTAAGACTGTCATTTAGTATCAGTACATTTACTTTAATTAAACAACTTACTCTTTAAATATTTACTTTAGTTGATATCAGTCATTTTACAAGGTTTAATCTCCAATATTGATAGCAGCACTGAATTTGAGGAGAGGTCTGAAAAAACATAAACTGGATGCAGCCTAGGAAGATCACGTTCCAGGGCTGTAGATAAACAATCCTGCCAGTATTACTTAATAAACAAGAAGCAGGTTCAACACGCAGAACTTATTTGTATAAATCTCAAGAGCTTTTAAGTAACTATGGCTTTTAGAAATGTTGAAAATAAGAAAGACTTGCATAAATAACGTTACCTGTATTTGACTCACAGCAGCATCATTAGACAATCCTACAGAAGCAGGCACTCTATTCCCCATTCTAAAACTAAAAAGAAATTAAAAGTCAGAAATCCGAGCTTTCAAATGACACTTTACAGTTTGCAAATTAAAGGTTTGCTTTGTACTGTTTAATTCAAATATTTGATGTGATTTCTCCATTACATGTAAGCTTACTTCAGCTGCAGTACCGACAGTCACACCAGTTCTCACACGCCTGAGAAGATGGAAAGGGAGACGCGTGTTGCAGACTACCGGGATAACCAGACGGCTGCTTTTACAACAGGAACGGTTTTCTTTTCCCCCAACGGTAATACAGATACAAGGGTCAAATCTGACACCGTGCTGCATTCGACGTCATAACCCGACTCTAACCGAAGGGACCGCACCCGTTCTCCGCACAGGAGCGGGTGCCGCAGGTGTGCTGCTCCGAGGCCCGCACGTCCCGGTGCCGGCCGGGCTCCCCGGCCGCTCAGCTCCTCGGAGGCCGTGCGCT